ATTCAATCAAGAAAAAGGTAAGTTCAATTATCGCTCAGTTTCTCGCTCTGTATGTCTACTATCTCTTGCTGTTTACAGCAATGGGTCAGTTGAAATGTCAATTTTTAATCAAGAATTACAATTCCTAATTCTCTTCAATTACTGATTCTAAAATGAATTACTGAAATTATAGTTTACCGTTCCTTTTTGTCATAATTACTAATTTATTGCCTGACAAGGTTAAACAAACAAAATTATAGTTAATTAAGGGTTTGGTTTGGAATCATAACATATGTTAATTAACGCACCATTTCTCTATTTCTTTTTATAGTTATCTGAGATTGAGTTATTCCAAGTTTTCGACAAGGAAACTGAGTATCAAGCCTTAATTAATGACAATGAGTTACTTCGTCGTCAAAACAAGGAATTGCGGGATGAAAATGATGGACTCATCTTGGAAATGGAAAGAATGAATCAAAAGTTAGAGAGGAGACAAAAGAAAGGATCCAAACATGATGCTGCTTCATCAATGAAAAGAATGAGAAGTTATCACAAAAACTGGGCCAATGAGATCTGATATTATTGAATGAGAAGATTAAGCGTTTTTTTCTGTTATATACTCATAGAGATGAAAGAGAGAGAAAGAAAAATGAAAAATTATTTCAAACTATGGCGATCCCAAATCAAAAAAGAGGTAAGTTATTGTTCTTATCAACCTCAATCAGTAAATCGCTTTAACCAATTTTTAATCCCAATCTACATTCTCTTTTGTATCCTCAGGTGATTAGACAACCTTCCCACACTTTCAACATCTATAATTATGTCTCTTCTAATATTGTTATTAAAAATGATGTTACCATTGCTCCTTTTCTGTCGCTGATGATTAACACACGCTACCAAATGCAAAAGAAAACGGAAAATTAATGGAGATGGGCATGCTGATTATCTCATCAAATCCAAGTTTCTTCAGCTAATAGTTTATTTCTCAATCCCTCCCTCACTCAATCATCTCAATCAATCAAATTCCACCAAAGATTTTCATTTGTGGCCTCATTCAGCTGGATTCTGGTTTAGACATAATATTCCGGCCAACATAGTGCATTCATGTTTTTGTCCCATATTTGACCAATGTTAATACTCGTGACGCCTTTTGCTCCTGACTTTATCAAGGACTCTTTGTATTATCTTGTTTTATCGCAATCTAAGCCCTATTGAAAGTGACCTCGTCCGTATTTTAAATGGATTGTTAATTTGGTTGCTTGGTATCCATCCAAATTTTGTTATAGATTACACTTTTCGTACGGCTAAATACTTGGAAACCTTGGCTGCAAAAAAAAAAGAAACTTCAAGCCCTCCAAATCAGTGCATTCAATGACAAAGTATATAAAAGCAAAAAGTGGAAAACTTTTCATCCGTTC